CCCCAGGCTCTCATACACCTAGCAAAACGCAAACAAGTATTTATTGTTGCAACACATAAAGACTATTGTACAGTTTCTATTCTTCTGTTGAAATTCAAGAGTCAACACTGTGAGAACTCACTTTATGTATATTATGTGTTGTACAGTTTCTGTTTCCAATAGCTGCATTCTCACACATTCGGGGGGGGGACATGATAAGCATCAAAATGTGTTTACTTGTAGAAGAAGAGAAGATTGATGAGCTCTGTCATAAGATGAGTGGATAAGAAAGTCTTGGAGTTGGTTAGTCAGTTAATAGAACAAACCTTCTCCTATATAAAGAGGATCTCTATGATCAGTTTCATTATCGAGATTTTGGCATCTCTGGCCATACACTTGTAAAGTTCTGATTTGATAATAAAGGTTTCGAGTGTTTTCCATAACAAAAAACCTATCAGGACAATCCTCCTATTGAGCTTAATATAGACAACCAGAGACATAATTCTGCTGCAAAAGAAGTGGTACTTAAAGAAACTCGGTTTAGAGCCCAATATATGAACTTCAAGGATTTTCCTGCAGTCCCAAGACATGTACAAAATCAATATGGAACCTTGACGAGGACATTGATACCAAATAAACCAAAAACAGCTCTCGAGGCTCCAACAAAAACTGCATTTCTCGGTAAAACTAACCCAATGGAGATTATTAAGATGGCAATCACGGGGATCATGAGGCGAATGTCATTGCCATGAAACTAAGTTGGACGCTCCTAGCTCGATAAGAACAGAAACCTCTTCAACAAACTGTTCATTCTGATTAAACAATATCATACTCTCAAAGTAAGCCACGATACACAGTTAGACGCTCCTCGATAAGAACATGCAGAAACCCTTTCAACAAACCGTTGTTCATTCTCTGGGACACTCTCGGCAAGGTTATACATCATATGTTCATCTCGGAGGTGAGCTATTGCAATACGACCAAGTTGGAGAGGAGTAAATCCTAGTGAAACTCCCGTCTTCAAAAGCTTCGTGAAAATCATGAAACACTCCCTATATTCGTTCCCAATCACCCATCCACACCGATCAAGGAACGCGAGATCAGCCTCGGAATCGAGTTGTGCGACCACATAGGTTGCGAAGCGTATAGAGAAAGGAATGTCCGCGGCTGGACCAAATCCCCCATTTTGTTTATTTCACCAAGCTAACCCAAGAATTGTGAACCTCGGTGCTTGATCGAAGAACGAGTACCCGTGGTATATCGGTACATACCGTAAAACACCATTGTCATCTAGTCTTGTAAGAACATTTTGCCTTTGACGATCCGTGACCGCGAATCGGAGATCGACCAAGCATACTTTGTGCAACTCTTCAATTGGTACTCGGTTGACATCAAATGGTCCTTGGAACGCCTCTACAAACTCAATCAAAATACCAATTATGTTTTGGCCTTCACTCCTAAACCTCACGAAAACTGTGGGAGCATGTCCACAAAATCCAGAGAGAGTTTGAGACTGTGATCTTGGACCATCTTCCGGATGGTCCAACAGATACACTGCCGCTTCCTTTCTTGCGGATATCTCTTTGTCGGCGCGGAAACGCTTAAATAAACAGACTCTTTGTCCCGTCGCATCCAATACCTGAAACATCTGGTTCAACTCTCTGAATCGGGGCAATGGACCTTCCTGATTTCTTTCAGGGAGACATGTTATCATCCATTGGAGACGAGCATTAGGCAGTTGATCGAGCCGAGGGAAAATGGTAACTATGGCCTCCATTACTCCCAAAGATGAACAAATACCCTAACGTCGCAAGTGTGAAGATTTAGCAAAAGGAAATGCAGTAGAATATCAAAAATCCAAATTCGAGCTAAGAAGAGTAGATCGATGAGGTAAAATCTCACCGGAATCACTAAATCTGCAAACTATCCGAGATCTGGAAACGGTGAGAGGACAGAACACGGCGGCGAGAATCCGAAACGAAGAGAATGTGGGAGGGAAAGAAAGGCGGTGAAAGTGAATAAGCGGTGACGTTTTTTTAGAGGAGAAATTGAAATTTTGATTTGGTTTGGTCTAAATAAATGGATATGGGGGATCCAAATAAAGAAACAACAAAATTGGAAACTAAACCAATTGAATTTAAAATTTCAAAAGAACTAAACCAATTGAATTGGAAAACCCTACTGGTTATCAATCTTCTTCTGTAAACCCTAAAACTTAAAGTGTATCGTCGTGGCGAGCAAATACGAGTACGACGATGAGGCTCAGCGGCAGGGAAGCCAAGACGCTGGCTGCGACCCGGATTCTGTGAAATATCGTTCGTGTTTCACATGTACAGATACATTTCAGGTCTGTGATTTGCTTCAGTTAGTCAGTCGTATACTGTTTTGTTTATGGATTGAGTAAGTATGGACTAAGAAGATAGAGTAAGCTTTTGGTTTAGTTTTATGGGAATTTGAGTGAGTTTGTGTGGTTTGCTGCAGAATGCCATATCGTAACTATATATATATCAATACGGATTTGCCATCCTTATGTTGCGAAGGTATAACCTCATTGCTTTTATCTGACAGCTTCTTAGCATTTGGGGGGACTGGGAAGATTTCTTCAGGAAGAAAGCTCCTCGAGCTATTAGCATGATCAGGCATTCTATTAGGAAGCATGTATGAATTGCAATGCAATGAGAAAATTCATTCATCCTTGACAGGACCAGTATTTGCAGGGAGTTCAAATGCTTGGTTGATATGGTACTCAAAGGATAGATTCTTTACATGCTGCTTACGACCCGTGATCACATTCAAATTCTTGATTTTTCTGGACAAGACGGTTTCAAGGATGTGTCAGACAAGCATAGGCATTCATTGGATACGCAAGCTCTGATTGAAAGCAACTAAGATCATCTCAGATAGCCAGAACATTGCTGTTACATCATCAAGAGATGCTTTGTTGGTTTATACTCTCGCTTACGAGGACTCAACCTCTACAAGGCATAGGATCTTCCGCCTATTCAAGAGGGATCCTCCTCTAAAGCTGAATGACTACTGCTGCAACCTTGTCGAGGTGGATTCTTTAGGTGATGAGGCTCTGTTTCTTGATTTGGGGATCGCCGTGCCTGATGTCCATACCCTTGGTATCGAGCCAAACTCCATCTATTTCACCCGTGATGACCGCCTCTGCAGCAAGGAACGTAGATGCCTTGACATTTGTGTGTACAACAATCTTGCAACTCAAACACTTGCCCACCGGTCTCTCCAAGTCAAACATCAAGAATGCTCTATGGTTTCTCCCCTCTTGATTTCTCCCCTTCTTGCATCTTGATGTTCTTTGTTCCCATGGTTTATCCTTGGCTCCTTGCTGCTGCATTATTCATCTACATTTCCAGACTCTACTTTGTTATACCTCTTTTTTTTTCTTTGATATGTGTAATCTATGACAATGAGAGTGTCTAAATAGCTTAGACAATACATGGTTTTGCATTTCATATGTTTTTTGAATCTATTCAGCACCCACCTAGTAGCAGATTAAGATCGATCGCATTTGATCTTTGAACCGGCCTTCCTCCTTTCACATACTCATGAATCAAAGCATTGTTTAAATATTTGGTTTAACTCCGTAAGAAAAGCATTACATTTCAAACAGATTGCAGAATAATAATCTTAGAGACAAAAACAAAAGTATAAAATCAAATCCATGAGAAGAAATGTTTATTAAAATATAACTCGTAGAATAAGAGGCCTTTAAAAGTTACAAGAGTCAAGAAGCTAGCTACAATTGATCATCCAAGAAACTTGCATCCATTGCTTGAATTTGCATCCTCTTAAAAATGTATATGCGTCTCTTTCTCTCTTCCTTTGCTTTGTTCTACTTGGGATTTTATTACCGCAGTTTGTACAAGTCTATCTTACAAATGCTTCCAACGAGGGTGATTTGAGCTCAAGCGATGATTTGAAAATTGGAGCATAAGCCTAAGCAATTTAAACACTGGCATTGTCATAGTTTAAAAGAAAAAAAAAAGGATATCAAAGCTGAGTCTAGAAATGTCTCTAATCACCAAGCAGCTGCAAGGACCGAAAGATAAACCATGGGATCAAGAACACAGAGAAGGATACAAATCAAGAGGGGATAAACCATAGAGCATCGTTGGGGTTTAAGCTGGAGAGACTGTGAAAACATTTGAAGGTCTTTGTTGCAAGATTGTACACAAAGATGTCGAGGCATCTACATTTCTTGTTTCGGACACGGTCATCCCGGGTGAAATAGATGGAGTTTGGCTCGATACCAAGGGTTTCGTCAGCAGGCACGATGATACCTAAATCAAGAAACAGGGCCTCGTCACCTAGAGAATCCACCTCAACAAGATCCATGTCGATATCGGGGTCTTGATTAGGATCCCTCTTGAAGAGACAGAAGATCCTATGACTTGTAGGGGTTGAGTCCTCTTAAGCGAGGGTACGGACAAACAAAACATCTCTTGATCTTGTAACAACAATGTTCTTGCTATCTGAGATGAGCTTAGTTACTCGATCAATCAGAGGTGACGGATTCATTGAATAACTGTGGTTGTCAGACACATCCTTGAAACCATCTTGTCCAAGAGAAATCAAGGGGTCAAATGAAACCACGGTCCGTAAGGATGTAAAGAGTCTCTCCTTTGAGTACCATATCATCCAAGCCTATTCACTCCTTGCTAATACTTTCCCTGGAAAGACCGGTGTGTGTTGGAGTGCCAAGGTGAATATCATACCCGTTCTTGCAAAACCCTATATACCTGGAAGTGTCAAAACGCCACACAACAACGTATACTAACTCTTGTTTGTTGTTCTCGTCTACCCACAAAACACCTCTCACATCTTCCGCAGTCCCACTCGGGTTACCATTAATTGTGAACTGCTTCAATTCCTTATCTCCTTCTCTCACAAGCCTAAAACGGGCATCTTCGATCGACTCTAGAGGTGGAAGATGGATCTTCTTCTCGCTAAAGATGTCTATAATAAAGAGATTCAATCCAGGATCTACCGTTAGGAACCACTTACCAGAGTTTGCAAGGTATCGAAATCCTGAAAAGTCAGGCTTCGTCGGCATGTAACCCTATCTTCGTCTGGTTTGTACAACACGAAACCATCTTGTGGAAACAGAATCAGCCATGGAGATCTGATTTTTGGGAGCAACGTTTTTTTCGAGCACAAGTACCAATTCGGACACACGATCTTTGCGCGGTGAAAATCCACAAAACTCAAACGTTCCAACACAGATATCAAGATATCTACAGGGAGCTCCGACCAGCGGCCAGGGTTGGGAGTCTCCATGGTTTGGTTTGTTGGAAGAGACGTTATTTCCTTGGTTACTTGTAAATTATCAGACTAAAGAAATCATAGATGTCTGTGATTTACTTTTAAAAGAATGATAGATATTGTCATGAAATA